GTGGGTGCTTCAACCCTCTCAAAATGTTGGCCAAGCAAAGCAAGGCAGACCTTTGTTCAGGTGATAGGATGAGGGGGGATGGTTTTAAACTGGCAGAGGGGAGATTGAGGTTGGACATGAGGAGGGAATTCTTTGGTGTGAGGGTGGTGAGAGCCTGGCCCAGGTTGCCCAGGGAAGCTGTGGCTGCCCCATCCCTGGCAGTGTTGAAGGGCAGGTTGGATGGGGCTTGGAGCAGCCTGGGCTGGTGGGAGGTGTCCCTGCCTGTGCAAGGGGTGGATCTAAATGATCTTGAAGGTCCCTTCCCACCCAGTCCAGCCTGTGATTCTATGTCAGGCAGGTTGGCTGCCCTGTGACACCCTCTCCCATCAGCCATCCCTGGCCCTGTGTGTAGGTGCCAGCCAGGCAGGATGGCTGTGACACAGCCCTGGTGGCACAGGGGGCACCAGAAAGTCCCTGTGGGACAGCACAGGGCTGTGAGACCTGTGTGCCAAGTCACACCTGTGTGCCCTCACTGCATCCCCACGTCCCTGCTGTGTCCCCACTCACCAACCTGCCAACCCCAGGCAGGTCCCAGCTCCCCGGGGGTGCCCAAACCCCAGCGCGGCTCCGAGGGTGATTGAACAGCTCAGAAAATGACCCGTTCCCTGGGAGCTGCAGGGACAGCAGCGAGTGCCGGTGCCTTGGCAGGGTCCTCAGGGCTATTTTCCCTGGGCTGGTGGGAGGTGTCCCTGCCTGTGCAAGGGGTGGATCTAAATGATCTTGAAGGTCCCTTCCCACCCAGTCCAGCCTGTGATTCTATGTCAGGCAGGTTGGCTGCCCTGTGACACCCTCTCCCATCAGCCATCCCTGGCCCTGTGTGTAGGTGCCAGCCAGGCAGGATGGCTGTGACACAGCCCTGGTGGCACAGGGGGCACCAGAAAGTCCCTGTGGGACAGCACAGGGCTGTGAGACCTGTGTGCCAAGTCACACCTGTGTGCCCTCACTGCATCCCCACGTCCCTGCTGTGTCCCCACTCACCAACCTGCCAACCCCAGGCAGGTCCCAGCTCCCCGGGGGTGCCCAAACCCCAGCGCGGCTCCGAGGGTGATTGAACAGCTCAGAAAATGACCCGTTCCCTGGGAGCTGCAGGGACAGCAGCGAGTGCCGGTGCCTTGGCAGGGTCCTCAGGGCTATTTTCATTCCGTGGGGACATTTCCCTTGTAAGTGATAGCCTGAGGAAGCTAGGGAACTCGTCTGCCAGGGGGGCTGATGGAGGGGCCGGGGAGTCTCTGGACAGGGAACAGTGGCACTTGGCAGTGGCAGCATCACCCCAGTGCCACTCCCTGGCCACCTCCAGCCTCATGGAACCCGTGGCACAGGGATGTGGCCATGCAGCTCCAAGCTCCCCCATGTAACCCCCAGAGATGGGCATCCCTGCTTGGCATGGCCAGGCAGTGTCCCTGCCCTGGGCATTCCCATGGATTCTAGGAGCTGGTGGGACAATGGGTCACCAGGAATTAAAATCCAGGTTGACAAGTCCAAGGGTTCTCCCTGCCCAGGTGGCCAGGAATCCTTGGGGTGACTAAGGAAGAGGGATGGGCAGTCTTTACTAGCAAAGACTCCCGTTGAGTGCATGGAGGATGTCCCCTAGGACCACCAGGGATGCCCTAGGCTGGGTTGGTGAAGCCCTGGGGTGGGTTAGTCAAGCCCTGGGGTGGGTTAGTGAAGCCCTGGAGTGGGTTGGTGAAGCCCTGAGGTGGGTTAGTCAAGCCCTGGGGTGGGTTAGTGACACCCATCGCTTCAGGCCCAGGGACAGGAGCAGTGTGAGCACGCAGGAGTCCCTCCTCTAGAGGAGGAGGCTCCTCCAGCTCCAGCCAATGGCTCAGCACTTCCCTCAGGTCCTTCAGCATCCCCCCAGGCTGCAGACCCCATGAGGGACACCACAGGGAGATATTCCTCCACCTACAGTGTGACACTTCCCTGTGCTGAAATACACACTGCTTCCTCACCATCTGCTCACTCACAGACCCAAATGTCCCCTGGCCAGGCTCTCTATCTGCTTTATCTTCCACCACCCTGATCTTCATGTCTTCTTCAAGTCAGGAACTCAGGTTTTCTTCCAAATCTTTCGGGTGGACACCCTGTGGGGAGACAGTAAAAAAGCCCCACACCCTGCAGAAGTGATTCCCTGTTTTTCATCTCTATATTTAGAAAGCTCCAAGCCTGGTTTTAATCTCTTTGGTGCACCCTGGTGAGGTTTCTTTACCCTTTCTTGATCAAAAGATGCAGTTCCAGCTGACTCTTCACAGAAATCAAATCAATTTGTATTGTTGTTGTTGTTTTTAACTAAACTTCAAAACTCTTCCACTCATGAGGCCAAGTTAGTCTGACAAAGCTGGTTCCTACACCCCTGCTGGGCTCTGCATTCAAACACCTGGGAAATAGTTGCTTTTTCCCTTGGGATCCTGAGACCTCTGGGATGGGATGCTGTGGTTGAGCCTTCTGGGTTTTGGGGTGCATAAGGGTTTGGAGAGCCAACCCCATCCTTGGCCACCCTCCTGCCTGTGTCTCCTGGGCTTCTTGAGCTACTTCGGGTCACTTAGTTCTCCCAGTTGGTGAAGGTTTTGGCCTGGATGGCTCCAAACTGCTGCTGGGTTGGTCACTGGTGCTGCTGAAGGGCCATAAAACACTGGGAGCTTCCTCTATGGTGCTCAGCACTCGTGCTGGACTCCGTCAAGAGGGCACAGAGTGGGAAACTGAGACACGGGAAGAGCAGGGAGAAGATGCCATCCTCTGCCATGCTCCAACCAGGGGTGGGCTGCAGGGCTGGGGTACCCAGGCCTGGGCCCACTTTGAGCTCCCCTGCCCAGGAAGGGTTAACTGGTTGAGGCTCATGGGGTTAATCTATCTCAACTTACTTTTCCCAGCAGCCAGGCTGCTGGCTGGCAGCCACCAGGAGCACGGGAACCCCCCTCCCTGGTAGCCCCCCAGGGCTTCCTCACAACTGAGAGCTTTGCTCAGCCTTGCCTTTCCCTGAAAAGAAAGGGACTGAAAGGTTTGGGATGCAAGTTTTCCCCCAAAATCCCTCCAGGAGGACAGGGGGGACCGGGACCCACAGGAGGTGGTGGGTAACTCCCCTGGGTGCTGCTGGGGCCAGGATCTGGGCAGGGACTGGGGGCGAGTGAAAAGCTGTCCCCGTGGCACTGTGGCCCCACGCTTGGGGCTCCTATTTCTGCTGGAGAGGGAGCATGTCCGTTCCAGGGCCACCTGTGCCTATCTGTCCCTCCTCACCACCCCCTGAGCAGGAGCTCCTTGGGGCCTGCCCGTGTCAGCCCGTGCGGGGATGGAGGGGACAGGGTGACACAGCCCCCAGGTTCTATCCCCAGCTTTTCCAGACGGGCTTTTCCCAGGTGCCAACCAGCCCTGGCATCCCCTGGCACACAGGGCCCCACCGTGGGCTCTCCATCCTCACAGAATCACCAAGGCTGAAGAAGACCTTTAAGATCATCAAGTCCAGCCCATAGTTGTGCCCCGTGGTGTTGTCACAGCTGGGGAAAGGGTCCCCAGGCAGATGACACCCCCCAGCCCGGGGGATGGGGGTGGGATTCAGGGCAGGCAGCAGCAGTGCCAAGCCAGGGAACCATTGGGAGGTCGGGTCCCCAAGGGGAGTGGGACAAGGGCTCCTCTCTGATGCCACCCGGCCACTTGGCACTGGGCAGGGCGCGAACAAGGGGACTCCCGGTGTCACTTTACACCGGGGCTGTCCCTGCTCCCTCCCGGGGCCCACGGGGACCCGCAGGAAGGGCCCTGGGTGCGGATGGACATCACCCCTTGGCTGGCAGCAGGGTGAGGGGCTGGTGCTTCTCCCTCCACACCCTGCTGAGCTGCTCCTTCTCATTCCCCCGTACAGTTGCTGGGACGTATTTTTAGCCTCCAGCGGGTGTTAAGCCCGTAACCTTCGGCCCATTTCACTGCTCATCTGCAGATCAGCACAATTCCCTGCCTGAGGGATCGGGAGACCATGTAGGGGAAACAGGAGGGAGAAGGAGGTGGAGAGGGGAGAGGGACTTTGTGTAAGACCTTGAAGGTCACAGGAAATAAAGCCCGTCACCAGGACAGCGGCAGGAACATCCCAGTGGGAATGCCTGGGGAATATTTCCCTTCTCCCATGTGGGGTGGCTCACAGTGGGCTCTGGGGTTGCTGTTGTACCTGGTCACAGTGGGTGATGGCTCCTCTGTCCCCTGCGTTTGCTCAGAGAGGACACAGAGGTCCCAGACAGAGCCCTCAGGACATGCAGGGTCTCCTTTGCCTGGTTCTGCTCCTGGTTCCCCCTGCCCCACCTTGACCCTTCCCAAACACCTGCCTGAGGAGCCGAGCTCCCCTCCTGGCCCTGCAGGTCACTGGCTGTTCTGGGGCAAAGCTGAGAATTTCTGTGACCCCCTCAGCCGAGGGGACCCTCAGGAGACCCAGGCTGGCCTTAAGGCCATGAGAGCCAGGCAGAGACATGCTGGTCCCTGGTCACCCAGGTCAGACACAACGCTTTCCCCTCCAAGTGACTCCTGGCAGGCTGGGGACCCAGGGGGTCCCCCAGGAAGGTGACCCCAAAGGCTTGGTGTGCTCCAGGTGGGAAGGAGGCAGGTGGGAGCTGCATGGGACCCATCTCCCTCCGGCTGGGAGCCAAATTGGGTGCCTGGAGGCACCTGCACGCCAGCAAGGGACCCAGGAGGTCAGCAAGGGCACAGCAAGGGTGACCTGTGCATCCGGTTTCGGCAGGGCGAGGGGACAGGGTGACAGCAGCAGCTCCTGCGTGCCAGGCTGCACATGAGAGCTCCTGGAAAGGCTGACGGGCTGAGGTGCAGCCTGTCCCTGCCAGCCACTGCTGCCTGGCTCCCAGCTCCCTGCACCGCCAGCCCTAGCACAGATGGAGATGCAGCCACCTGCCCAGCATCCCTGGCCACAGCAAACTGGCTTGAGTGGCCTGGGGCTAGCACTGGGCCAGCTCCTCCTGTGCTCGGCCACCATGGTCCCCTGTAGTCAAACCCAGTGAGTCCCAGTGCCACGGCTCTGCTGAGGCTGTGCTCACGTTCTGCAGGACACATGTGGCTCCTTAGCATGGACATGGGAGCCAGAGGAAAGGGATGGAGGCAGAGCAGGGGACTGGGTGGCAGCTGCCCATGCCCAGCCCTGCCCGTGCCCGGCGCTGCCTGCCTGCCTCCCTGCAGCCTGGGTGGAGGTGGCATTTTTTCCTGGTTGGCATCTGCTTGCCAGCTGGAGTACAAAGGAATTACTTTCCTCTGAGATGCTTCCCTAGCATGCAGGCGTTAGACGTTTCGGGGGATTATTTAGACTAGCAGCAACTGTTTGTAACAGAGACAGTATAGCTGGTGCCCGTGCCCGGCGCTGCCTGCCTGCCTCCCTGCAGCCTGGGTGGAGGTGGCATTTTTTCCTGGTTGGCATCTGCTTGCCAGCTGGAGTACAAAGGAATTACTTTCCTCTGAGATGCTTCCCTAGCATGCAGGCGTTAGACGTTTCGGGGGATTATTTAGACTAGCAGCAACTGTTTGTAACAGAGACAGTATAGCTGGTGATCTTTTATTTTTGGCACCCGTTGACTAATGTTAAATTGCAGCTGGAGGCCTATGGAAAATACGGATGGCTTCTCCCATGCCACAGGACAAACTCATTGTGTCCCCGCCAGCCGCGAGGCACAGCAAATGCCTTCCTAGTGAAGGGCTGCTCACAATAAATAGCTCCCCAGCCCCACTGCCACCCGCGTCCGGCCCTGCCTTTCCACAGCCAGGGGAGCCCCCTCCTCCCCTTCCTCCTCCTCACCCACCCACCCACCACGGTGATGGGCCCCCAAGGCAGGCAGGGCTGGGGAAGGACCCTTTTAACCTGCCAAGTGCCCGCAGCCCCTTGAGCTATGCTTTTAGTTCTTCCTTCCCTCTGTTTTTTAGGGCTGCTTTGCCGCCTTCCTGCAGGGCTTTGCAGCAGGTCGCAGCCGTGGGCCCGGGGCAGCCATGGCTGGGGGCGGCCTAGGACCCCCCCCCCCCCC